ATCTTAATGATTCCTAAATGCATCTACTTTCGGAAGGCCAAATATAGTGCTTTTGCTTTCGCCTAGAAACACACAGCGTCTCCTTGACATGGCTGCTTCAACACTAACTGCGGTTACTGAAACCATGCCTTCTTTCTTTGCGTGCACATTTGGGCGGCATTATGCTAATATTTTCACATAGTGAGGTAGATATGTGGGGGCGTGTTAGAACGAGCCGTTTTAGGGGGGCGTGGCAGAGTCTTAACTTTGATAAAGAATATCTCTTTGGGTTTGAGACTTTAGTCTTTGCAACTTCAGGGATCTTATCTATGCACAATCAGCTTGTAACACTCCAAAGAGAAAGGAAAACTTGAAATCACATCATATGACCCCTTTAAAACTAGCAAGGCAGCAATAAAGGGCCATAAATATTTAGCTTACCATTAGAAGAACTGAAGCCAGCCCAGATGATATTTTGAACCTCCAGAGAAACAACTGGTTCCACTTTACTTCCTTATGGAACGTCATTGTCATTTACAAATATCCATTAAGCCAAAACTTAACTAACACATTTAAAAACATGTGCGTACCATAAAATAAAGCAAAAAAACACGAACTAAGAAAAAAAGAACACTCATTTTGCAGGTTAGCCAATCACTGTCTTAAATTAGTCTCCGATTGCTCGCCAAATGCTCCCTCTTTAACCCTTAAAGTGGCCTGACTAGACTTTGAACATTCAACTCTGCAACGGCGCCTCTTTCAAAAATATAAATTCAACATATGATAAAAAAGTAAAGAATGCAAAATTGTCTACACTACTTTCATGTAAACCTGTAGCTTTAAAGTTGTATAATTTTAATTCTGTGATATAGCTTATCGATATTCTATTGGTCACGTGACTTCGTGATACCATCTTTTATAAGATGGTTATTCCATATACGGTTTTTACATACGTAGCAAGTTTTCACAAAATAAAAAATAATAAAAACATTATTATTCCGCCAAACGATGTTGTTCCTCAGAAACCGTTGTAGTTGCAACAAAGTGGTTGCCGAGCAACACACAGATGCAAAGAGGTGTATGTTTGTGGAGTAATTTACAACAGCTTGGAACGCGGCTCAACCAATCAGAATCAAGGACCGGAACTCTCTGTTTTATAATTAGAATTTTGGAACACAGTGAAGTTCTTTAGATGAGCTTGCGATTTGTATGCATAGTATTTCACACTGTTAATAAAAAAGCAAGCAAATCATGTTTTAATGATACACAATGACGTAAGATCAATGTACAATGTTTTTTATTTGATAAAGGCATACATTGAAGGTGAAACCAGTCTTTTGTAGGATTACTTAATATACACAATCTGTACATGTATTACTTCCAGAAACAAAAAGAACTACTGAATCAAACTGTAAAAACGAAGCGTTGTTAATAGCATTAAACATACTGTGAGTGTGTTCAGGATCTTTTTAAAGCTGCATAAAAACCACAAAACGTCGTAATATTGTATGCGCACCATCCTTCCATTGACACAAAAGCTTCATGAAACATATTTGCAAAAGCTGGCACCCATCAAATCACACTGTGCCATCGGTGATGCCAGTCCAGAATAAACCCCTCAGACTGGTGCCTGTAACATTATACATGTAAACAGTGATAGTAATATTACAGCATGTAAATGTCATCGTTTAGACCTGATGAAGAATATTTCAAACATTCACTTTGTTCTGCCGCTTCTAGCCGTCTATACATCGTATCAAAACCAGGAATCTGATCAAAAGAGTTTAAATCAACTGTCCAGTTTGGTTTCTTGCTCACTGGCAAATATTATTAGAAATGTTTGTCACATGCACTCGCTGTTTTGAACAGACATCTACCTTCGTTTTTATACAGAAATATACATCTTTTGTTAGAGCGATAGTTCACACAAAAATTACAATTTTGTCATTATGTACTCTCTCAACCCTCATGTTGCTTCAAACCTGTTTGACTCACTTTCTTCCATAAAACACAAAATTATTTATTTTGCAGAATGTCTAAGCTGCTCTTTGAAAGTAGATCCAGGGGCTATTAATAATAATACTAAAATAAATAAATAAACAAATAAGATAAAATAAATAAAAAATTCAAAAAGGAAACAAAACACCGTAAAATGAAATAAAATATAATAAAGCTTCAAAAAGAGACGATAAAATAAAATGTAATAATAAATTCAATAAAATAGATTAACATTCTTCCATAAAACACAAAAACGAATTTATTTAGCAGAATATTTAAGCTGCTTTTTGGAAATAGACAGTGACCAGGGGCTAAAAAAATTAAATTAGGTAAAATAAAAAGCCTCAAGAAAGACACACAAACGTAAAATCAAATAAAATATCAAATAAAATAATAAAATAAAGCTTCAAAAAGGACAAAACGAACATTAAATAAAATAAAACGAAGCTTCAAAATAATTTTTTTTTTTTTTTTTACATAAAACACAAAATTATTTATATTGCATGATGTTAAAGCAGAAAAAAATATGAAATAAAACAAAGCTTCAAAAAGGAAAAAAAAGGAAAGTGACCGGGGCTAAAAAAAAAAAAAAGGACAAAAAAATAAAATAAAAAACTTAAAAGGTTTTTATTTATTAATTTTTTTTTTTACATAGGAACGTCAGTTATATGGGTTTGGAACAACATGAGAGCGAGTAAATGACAGATTTTTCATTTTCAGGTGAGCTATCCCTAGTTTAGGGGTTGGCGTAAGGAATTATGTGTATTTGGGTGGTGTGGGTGGGGTAGTAACTGAAGCTAAGAGGAACCTAAAGCACGCAGCTCTCAGTGCAGTCAGTGATACTATCATCAGCAGACCTCTTCCTGAGCTCGCGGCCGGGTTTGTGGTGGGCCGTCGGGTGCTTGTGGTGGTCGGACTGCAGAGCCTCCTCATGTGACATCGCCCCCTGATGGACCGGAGGAGCCGCGTTCCCCTCGGGCCGCTTCACCTGCAGGTACGCCCGCACGCGATGGTGCCGCAGCTTGCTGTCGCTGAAGTCGATGACATGGCATTCGTACGTTCCCTCGTCCGCAGGCTTCACGCTGGACAGACGGAGCTTGTGGGAGATGTTGCTTCCGGCAACCTTCACCACCTACAGAGAAACGGACAGGAGATGTGTGGAAGCCAGTGTCAGGGTATTAAATCATGAATCAGCCTCGAACATGCTGATTGAAGATGGACTCCGGGATGAAGCAGTGTGTGTTAGAAAATCAGATCTAGAACAGCCTTTTGAGAACATTTAAGGCAAGACACTAACAGGCAAAACTATTGTTTTATTTATGCACTAATCAATTTTGTGATTTTGTGCTATTTTGCTTCCATAACATGTCTTTTTTTCAGACTAGTGGAAAGAAAACATCCAAAGTGTTCATTTTATTACACTTTTGCGTCTGTAGATTTTAATTAGAGTACATATTTTTCAGAATATGTTTTTATTCTGCACTGAGCCAGAAATGTAACCAAACCAAACTTCAGTTTTATTCTTATCTATATTCTGAAGGTTTTTGCAGAGGGGTTTGTTGTTCATATATCATTCGCCTGGTTTCTATTACATTTTGTTCCTTAAAACATGTGAAAATGTATTCTAGTTTTTGACTGTTGACATTATTTTCTGATTTATGGAGTAATAAAAAGAAATATCCAACATCCTATTTATAAGTCCTTTAATATGTCAACAAAATGAAACAAGAATTTCGTACCTGGCTTTATCCACTGTTCAAATTTATGTTCCGCAAATTAGTGCATATTTAATTACATAATGCATCATTTGCACATTTAAATATAATATTTAAGAAAACTTGTAATGCAAAACCATTGTCTTAATCTGTTTAATCAACTGGTGAAAATATGGTTATTTCTATTAATTAATTGTCACCCTGTTCACCTGTAGTGCTTTGCCTCGACTACACCCATGCCTGTGGTACTCGCAAAACACAAGCACCAATCTAATAAACCTCTGGATTTGTTAACAAGGAGTCTTTTGTATTGTTCCCAGCTCTCATGTTTTCTGTCCTGCAGGCTGAAACTAGCTCCTGAACATCAGAGCTCCTGTGTGGCCCAGCATGTGCCTCTGAGCAGCAGGAAGCAGTAGAGACGGTGTTTCCATCCACATCTGGGATATTGTGTTAAAAATGCGAGATGGAAACACCAAAATACAAATAAAATATCCAAAATGTGCATAAATGTAAATTATTTATCAAAAATAAGATGATAAAAAAAATTTATGAAAAATAATAATATATAAAAAAAATTAAATTCTATTCAAACGTAAAATTTTTTATTTATACTAGTATGAAAATCATTAAATGTTTTTTTTGAATATGCATC